CTTCTCTGACCCCATCCCCAACAGATCACAGAGATCTTCTCTGACCCCATCCCCAACAGATCACGGAGTCTTCTCTGACCTCCCTTCCCCGACCTCACCCAACTGTCTCAGCCTCCAAGCCCAGCAGGCACACCTTGGGAACAAACACACCAGGGGTGCAAGCCAGGGAAACAGGGCCACAGGGAATTCTCTGCAGGGCAGCACCCAGCCATCACGTTCTCCTCGTGTCCAGACAGAAAGCAGAAACCAAACACCCAACAGAGACAAAAGCAGATGTCAGCATGCAGACATATAACCATCCCAATCCCAGATCCTAGATGCCAGCAGAAAAACACAGTAACCGCCAGGCCAATGTCTCCACTAGAGCCCAGCAACCCCACCACAGCAGGCCTTGAAGAGTCCAACACAGCTAAAGCTCACGAAAAAGACCTTAAACAGCCTGTATGAAGATGGTAGAGGCCTTAAAGAGGAAATGAATAAATCCCTTAAAGAAATCTGGGAAAACATGAACAGTGTGAGGAAATGAATAAAACTATTCACGACCTGAAGATGGAAGCAGAAGAAAACTCAAGACTGAGGGAATTCTGGAACTGAAAAATCTGGGAATTCGTACAGAAACTACAGAGGCAAGCTTCACCAACAGAATACAAGACATTGAAGAAAGAGGGTCTCAGGTGTTGAAGATGGGATAGAAATAACGGATACATCAGTCAACGAAAATGTTAATTCTAAAAAACTCCTGATGCAAAGCATCCAAGAAATGTGGGACCCTGTGAAAAGACCAAACCTAAGAATAGGAATAGAGGAACCCAGCTCAAAGGCCCAGATAACAGGCGGTGGTGGCGCACGCCTTCAATCCCAGCACTTGGGAGGCAGAGGCAGGTGGATCTCTGTGAGTTCCAGGCCAGGCTGGGCTACAGACTGAATTCCAGGACAGTTCCAGGGCTGTTACACGGAGAAACCTTGTCTCGAAAAAACAAAACAAACAAAATCATAGAAGAAAAAATTTCTAACCTAAAGAAGGAGATGGCTATAAAGGTACAAGAAACACACAGAACACCAAGAGATTAGAACAGAAATCAAAGTCCCCTCATCACATAAAAACACTAACGTACAGAACAAAGGAAGAATATGAAAGGCTGCAAGGAGAAAAGACCAAGTAACATACAAAGGAGACCTATTAGAATACACCCGACTTTCTCAATGGAGACTCTAAAAGCCAGAAGGGCCTGGACAGATGCGCTGCAGACACTAAGAGACCACAGATGCCAGCCCAGACTACTATACCCAGCAAAACTCTCAGTCACCATAGATGGAGAAAATAAGATTTCCCATGATAAAGCCAAATTTAAGCACATTTATCTACAAACCTCACCCTACAGATGGTGCTAGAAGGAAAACTTCAACCTAAGGAGGTCAACTACAACCATGAAAACACAGGGAATAAATAATCTCAGAGTAGCAAAACCAAAGGAAGGAAACACACACACACACACACACACACACACACACACACACACACTCACCACCACTACCAAAATAAAAAGAATCAACAATCTTTGATTTTTAATCTCTCTCAATATCAATAATCTCAATTGGCTAATAAAAAGACACAGACTAGGGGCTGGAGAGATGGCTCAGTGGTTAAGAGCACTGGCTGCTGCTCTGCCAGGGACCCAGGTTCAATTCCCAGCACCTACATGGCAGATCACAACTGTCTGTAACTCCAGTTCCATGGCTTCTGACACTATCAAGACATACATGCAGGCAAAACACCAATGAACACAAAATTTAAAAAAAAAAAAAAAAAAAAAAAAAGGCACTGACTAACAGAATGAATACAAAACAGGATCCAATTCTTCTGCTGCATCCAAGAAACACACCTCAACATCAAGGATAGACATTACCTCACGGTAAAGATTGGAAAAAATATTCCAAGCAAATGGACCTAAGAAACAAGCTGGCATAGCCACTTTAATATCTAACACAATAGACTTCACACCAACACTAATCAGAAGAGACAGGGAAGGACACTACACACTCATCAAAGGAAAGCTCCACCAAGATGGTCTTTAAATTCTTAACATCTGTGCCCTAAACAAGGGCACCCAAGTTCGTAAAAGATACATTACTACAGCTTAAATCACATATTGACCCTTACACACTGATAGTGAGAAACTTCAGTACCCCACTCTCACCAATAGACAGGTCATCCAGGTAAAAACTAAACAGACAAAGGATGGAGCTAACAGACAAATGGACCTAGCAAATATTTACAGAACATTTCACCCAAACACAAAAGAATATACCTTTTTCTCTGCACCTCATGGAGCTTTCTCCAAAATTGATTCTATTCTCTGACACAAAACAAGTCTCAACAGATAGAAGAAAACAGATTGTATCATATCAGACCACCACAGATTAAAACTGAAGAGCAAAAACAACAGAAAGCTTACAAACTCATGGAAACTGATCAATGAAAATGGTTGAGGACAAAAATAAGAAAGACATAAAAGCCTTTCTAGAATTGAATGAAAATGAATACACAACACACCCAAACATATAGAACACAAAGAAAGAGGTTCTAAGAGGCAAGTTCTTAGAACTAAGTGCCTACATGAAAAACAACAACAACAACAAAAACCTAAACTGAAGAGCTCTCCTACTATCAACAACACACCTGAAAGATTTCAAACAAAAAGAAATTACACCCAAAAGGAGTAGACATCAAGAAATAATGAAACTAGGGGCTGACATCAATAAAATAGAAACAAAGAGAATACAAAGAATCAATGAAACCAAGGATTGGTTCTTTGAGAAGATCAGTAAAATTGACAAACCCTTATCCAAACTAACTAAAAGGCAGAGAGATCAAAATGAACAATATCAGAATGAAAAGGGGGACATAAAAACAGACAGCGAGGCCAGGTGGTTGGTGGTAGTGCACAACGCCTTTAATTCCAGCACTCAGGAGGCAGAGCCAGGTGGATCTCTATGAGTTCAAGGCCAGCCTGGTCTATAGAGTGAGATACAGGACAGGCATCAAAACTACACAGAAGAACCCTGTCTCGAAAAACTAAAGACAAAACAAAACAAAAAAAAGCAGACACTGAGAAAATCCAGAGAATCATAAA